ATGATAGTGACGACGTTACAAAATTTGTAAACAACTAACTGTCATTGTCGTGTTACTGTGGTTTCTTTCGTCGGACTAATATATATCTAAAAACTCTTATATCTTGTAGAAAAGTTTCCGTTTATTGGTTTTGTTGACTAAATTAATGCTGCACGCCGGATTTCTAAAAGCAGAAACGACAAAACTTTTTGACATAGTAGGTACATTACCTTAAAAATGTATTTTTAAACTAAAAATATTATTGAATGAGTACTTACATCGAAATGATCTTTGCAAAAAGAAATTAGTTTCACAGTTGATAAAGTTACAGGTAAAAAAATCAAAACATTATTTTCGGTCCAATAGAATAATTTATCAAAAAGTGTCAATTAGGCTATTTGACAACAGTGTATGAAAAGGGGAGACCAGAATCTCTGAATAAGGAATCCAATGGAACTGTTGCAATGACATATAGCTTTTTAGTTATGTATAATTTTGGTAGACGAAAAAATTTACATAATGGCGTCTTTGTCTAAAGTATGCAATGAGAGCAGTCCAACTCTATACAAAACAGTTTCGCTATGTTGGCAACATTTTTCGTGACGTGAGACGTGTGCCTTGTCCGCCATATTGTGCCGCTGTCTAAGTACCTGTGGTGTAAACATTGATTCCGTTGTCACTGTGTGATATTAAACATTAGTTCTTGAATAAAATTGTTCTTGAAGATATTTTGAAGATTGTGGTGAAATATTATATAAAACAATAGTGTACAATGCCTAATAAGTGCAGCATAATAAATTGTGGTGCAACAATAAGCAGAAATCGGCCAAATTTAACATTTCACCGGTAAGCATTTATTTAAAATTTATTAGTGTTTTCAGCCTTGCAATCAAGTCAAGGACACTTAAAATCATTTAAAGTATAGTTTATAGAGTAATTGAGTATGTATTTTTCCTAAAAAATATATTTCGGTTTGGTTTATATTGTATTTTGTTTTGACTGTAGTGATGGTTTTTGTTATATCGAACGATTTATCGATATTTTCTTACACGAAACACTTTTTCCTTTTGATTAATTTACATTCAATTCACACTCCTCAAGAGAAGCAATAATTAAGTGATTCTTGTTTCTCTCGAGTAGAGTGTGCACATAGGGGGGTTGCGTATAAAAAAAATCCATGCTTCCGATATCAAATTGACATTTATTACAATACAGAAAAAGATCTAATTTGTTAATTTTTTGATTTATTTTTGTTTCCAGACTGCCAGTAAGTAAAAACAAAAAAAAGAATTTGGCTAGAGGTCATTGGAAAAGAAAATTTAAGAACAGATCTAAAACATATTTACATATGTTTTTTACATTTTCATCCAAACTCATTTAACAAGACATTGGATGTTATAAGATTAAAAGATGATGCAGTATCTTCGAATACCTAGACTGCCTTAATAATAATGTCACAAAATATGCAGAAAGTGTTGTGGCGTACATCGCAGGCTTTGTAGCCAGAAAATTATCCCGCACCATAAAATGTGTAACTTGTGTGTCAATGTTATTTGGCGATGTGAAAGCAGTCATTGATAGTTGAGGATGTTTGTAAAAAGACAGAAAACATTTAAAATTTAATTTTAAGAAAACAAATTTTGAGAAATATTTGTATATTTTTTCTTTTCTCATCGAAAATTATGGCGAAAATAATCAAGGTTTTGAAACCGATTCGAGCGATCATGATGCCAATCATAAATATTTATTAACAAAGAGTGTAATTAAAACATATATTGATATAAGGTTTAGATATTTTCGAAGGAAAAGTACGGAAAAAATTACGTTTAGAAATTACTTAAACAAAATTTTCTTTTTAGAAATGAATAATGTTAAACTGATGAATGTAAATAAATAAATACTGATTTTTATACTTATAACACCTACTTATTTTAATACCTACCTATTTTATCTCTTTTTTTTCTATTCTGATATACGTCATCGTGTTAAATAGTCTGTATAATGCGTTTCTGTAAAACTATTTATACTGGAATCCTGCCTATCATTTCTTTGATTCCTCACAACGCGTACAGCATGGGTACTGGCGAAACCTACCACCTTACTAGTGGTATTGAATATAATCCCCGCGTTAACCGAATTGATTTTTAAATATTGCTAGTATTAAATCTCTATACTTGCTGATTTTCTTACAATGTTTTCCTTCACTAAAAAGGAGGTAACGAACTGCACATAAAAAGCTAATATATTAAAATAATACGATACTTAAAAGCGAATTCTTTTCTTTTTATTCTTTTCATTAATGTTCTTGGCATAATTACTATAATTTATACTATCAGTACCTAATCATGAAAATCATAAAAAAAATCAGCGTGATTTTAATAAATATTGAACTGAACGTAGTCTCAATAAAGTCGGAAAAGTGTAAGTTAATCAAATTAGAGAATTAAAGATAATTAGATGCTAAAATATAACGTATAAATATAATATATTAAGTTTTATCGATAAATATGGCGCAATCGATAAGTGTTAAATACCATCGTGGTAGAATACAACACTAAGCCGCCATGTTTAGCTGCGTAGGTATGCACGTTTTTTTCGTAGGTATGGCAGTTCCATAGGTTTCCTTATTCAGAGGCCAGAATAGACGTCTACCAATGACTGTGTCTGAAGGTATGCACCACAGCATGGTAAATGCTGCCAATGCAACGTCTTCTCCAGGAACTCTATGTTCTATCTCCTTTTTTTAAAAAAAATGTATAGAAAAATGCTCGTTTTATTCGGTTTCACCTATCCTTACATTTTTCATTTCACTCAGAAAAAAGTACGTAGATCTACGAACTTTTCATATGCAAATTTTACTAATTGTACGTAATTTTCTCATCGGGCCTACGCCTTTTTCAAAATCTGAGTTGGCAACACTGCGTACAACGTTACGTCGCAGTAGCACCGCCGGCGCCCCAGGGGCCTACATTATCTAAAACGCATAAACTACTGAGCGGTGTCACTGAGACGTCGCAACGCATTAATTTCTCCCCCCCTTGTCTCGGTGGTTACAAATCTGGTGCGGCACCGCACAATGGCGTATCCAGCTTTGGCGCCAGGGGGGGGTCATATAGCCAGCTTTGGCGCCAGGGGGGGGTCATATAGTCGTGGTATATTAAATATTGTAAGTACTTAAATAAAATCCCCATGTGTTTGGTCCATCTGGTCCCCCCCCCCCTGGATCCGCCCTTGGCACCGCAGCGCATTGTGTGACATACCACAGATATTTCTATGTAAAACGACGCAAAAACATCGCGCCGCGGCACTAAGCCAAATTAAGGGGAGTTGCACCGCGAGCGAAGTGAGCCCATTAATGACTCTATTCACCTCGCAATACAAAATGAAAACATGTGTTTCCACTATGAAAGAGTTGAGCGAAAATGACAAAAAGGGCAAAAAGAGTAAAAATAAGCTCACTTTTTGGCGGTGGAATACACCCGAACTCTTTCTCGGTGGAAAAGCAATCGTTTTTTATGTACACGAAGACCGCTCCGCTAGAAATCTCTAGTTCATTCCTCTTTGGCGGTAGAAAACGGGCTTTACACAGGGTTGCTGACTGACCCCGAATTTGTGTCAACTTAGTGCTGACCCCGATACTGGCTTAATTTAAAATGATTTGGAGACAGTACAACGACGACATCATGCGATTCAGTTCTGGGACAGCAGATACTGACGAGTAACCTAAGTAGTAACACTGACCCTGTATAAACCTATAATTAAATAAGTACTAATTGAATCAGAACGCCACCAACATTATACCTTGCAGTTCTTAACTCGCACAGCCCTAAATAAATGTGTATAAGCAATTGTCAAATAACTAGATAATGAATAGATCGGTTTGCTGCACAGAACAGAGAAAGTACCTATGTACTGTATGCACTTTATGAATGATTTTTGGCATAAGGCGTACCCAGCTTCTGGCCTAGTGGTGGGGCAAGTCATATTAAGTAGGTCGGATAATCCGCGGCTGTTTTGTTATACACACTAACATAGATCGATCGATCGAGGATACCTTTAGTCAGGGTAAGGGTCCCTTAAAATTGGGTAGTCTAATAGGCGCATTAAGTTCAAAGCTAGATTTGATTTAATTTATATCCCTAACTACAAGGTACTAGCGGCCGCTGCGACTTCGTCCGTGTTAACTTTAGTTTTTGGAGAATCCCTCAGGAACTAAGCAATCTTTTTTCTAGGATGAAAAGTATCCTGTCGCATTCCAGGTCATAAATTATATGTATACCTCATCTAAACCCGTTCAGCAGTTTTTCAGTAACTAACATACAAACTTTCACATTTATAATATTAGTAGGATTGTATGCTTCCTATGGATTTTCTTAATTATCCATACCAACAAAGACACGGGCAATGTGTAGTCGTTTAGTTAAGGGTAGAGTTAAGTTCAAAGTAATTCGAGTAAATATCCACTGTTAGATCTTTCAGCTACATTTACTTATTATTCTGTGTTCACTTTCAATTCATGTCACATGAACCATTATGTCCTATCTGTTGTGTGTGATCACTGATCACAGGCAAATAAAATATTTTTAGTTTAACACATGTTGTCCTGCCCCAGAAAAATATAATAAATTCTCATCAGTTGACTACGGCTCCACCTACCGGGTTAAGTTGTGAATAACTAAACCATCTAAACCACTCGAATGCACAAATAAAATATCGTCGAAATCGGTCCAGCCGTTTTTTAATTTTAGCGATACCTACGAAATTGTGACTTGCTTTGTTGTGGTGGGATCACAGCTCTATTCTAAACTTATGGCTCTATTATTATCCAAGTTTGCCACCGGTTTCTGTCACTATGTTCCACACCTAGCTTATTTCATCCTAGCTTTGATTCTGATAAGCATGGCATTGCAATCGTCAAACGGATTGTACCCTACACTCTTTGGTAGTCGTGTTAGTAATAACCTTTGTATGAGATAGTTAACGAGTAAAATGAGAATAAAGCATCATAGGTGCCTTATAGAGGGCATCAATAAAAGACATACATTTTATTAAATTATAATGAGTAATTAGATAAGTATTTGAGATAAACACCACGTAAAATTTGATTAACATTTTATGCTTATCAATATGTAGCAATCATCAGAGTTTTCTCCTGTATCCACCGTAAAGACTGAGGCCAATATGATGGAACCAGTTTTTCCTCTTGAGTTGCTGGCTGAATTTGGCGTCCTCTCTGAACTGCTTCCACTCGTTGCGTTTGTCTTCATCGCGAGGACCGTATGTCGGCTTCTTACGGAATGATTTCTTCACAGTCTGTAATTGAAATAAAAATATCATATTTAAGAACTTGCACCTACCTAAAGTAATGAGGTACATAAGTAATTACTTAAGAAGTAATTTAAGGTAGGAGTGGCGCCCGTCTGGGGAAGTACCTATCCTCCACCTTACAGAAGGCCACAATGGAATAATAATGCTTAGAAGATTGGGTTCAGAGGCCAAAGTACGAACTTTGACAGCTCCGTTATCGCATCGCGTCGTCAGTTTCCATGAAAACTAAGACGCGCCCCTACCGGACGTAAGAACAAAGTGTCTCCTTTCATACATAATTTGACGATACGATCACGGATCTCTGTAAAAGTTCCTCAACTATCGTCAACAATCAACTCAAAATATAGTTCAGTAACGAATGGTTTCTGCCGCCTCTTTTGGCCCTAGAGTAGGTACGCCTCTGCCTCCAGCGGTTTTTAAGAAACTATTCGATATTGACTCTTGGCGAGGTGTGGTAATTCGCCTTTGTATAAAAAATATGTTTTACTTTAAGCATATTTATGATCGTGAAGTAGCCATAATAGATATAGCATTAAATAGTGAGACAGCAATTTTAATGCAATGCTTTATACTTTAGGTCAGGAGGCCTACTCTATTTCAACGAAAAACGAAATTTCGATCGAAATTTCGCACGTTCCTTACTCTGTTTCTATTTCATTTCGAAAATTCGTTCGTCCTAAAACAGTTTGGCATTTAAATTCTCTAAGCCATCTCTAATTCACAAAACTTTTGAACTAAAAGTTGAATTTGACAGATAATTGTTCGAAATTTTAACCTCAAATTGACGAAATGAAAAGTGTTAACTTTTCATTTTCGTTTTAGAACTTTTGTTTAAATTAAGCTTAAAATGACTGCTACAGTATTTTTAATCAAGGCTGCTTAGCATGAGGAACATTTTGTTAGCATGTCAAATTAAGAAATACACCAAATTTTAATTAATTATTGTATTTCCAATACTTCAAAGTATTAAACGACAAATTTAGGTTGACATATAATGAAATGCATCAACTCTACAAATTAGTCGGCTAACACTGTCAAAGGGGTTCGTTTAATGTCATCAAAAATTTTGTAATAAAGTAATATTGTTTCCAAGTAAACCAGGTAATCTTAAAAGAACTCACAAACATGACTCATTCCATTCGTTCACGAAAATTGTCTGTTATTCCGAACTTTATGTGCGTGTTCGAAAATGAAATAGAGTAGAGTTATTGGCGAAATTTCGTTTAAAATTCGTTCTTTACTGAAATTTCGTTTCGGAGAAGGAGAGTAGAGCTCCAGATGTTTGAAAACCAAAGTGACCGATTTTTCCGTAACATCAAAGTCAGTCGATTTTCTTTCTACGTGGGAGAGTTTCCTAGTTGGAGTGCTTTGCTTGCTTGCTGCTTTTAGGGTTACTTATCCAAAGGGAGGAACTTTACCATATTAATTTGCGACCACTGTCTGTCTGTTTGTCACAGAGCTCTATATCTCTTGAACCAACAAAGAACTGAAATCTTCACAGAACGCCTAGTGCTGTGTCTTTTAAATACGTAACGAGGTCCTCCTCGAAAATAATAATTGGTTGGAATATGTTTTTTATAGATATTTTTTAACTTATGATACAATCAAGCTTCATTAAAAATGGTTCAATATTTATTTAATTATGAAAGAATAATAAAAGGAAGGTCTTCCTTCGCATAACTGAGTCGACTCATCAATGTTGCTACATTACAAACTAGAAAATTTGGATAATATCTAGATTACTATTGACAAGTAATAAGAAAAGTTAATGATCTTTTATTTACCATAACTTCGACCTATTCGAAACAAAAGTTACGAGGAAGTGTGTTTATTATGTTTTGCTCACCTCAACAAAATCACCGGTTCTGTATTTCCACAAGGTAGCGATGATAAATATGGGGATTAGCGCAATACCAGTATATTGTAGACTGTTACCAGCAACTGAAATTGATATTACAAGTCAACTAAGTATGTATTTAAACATCTGGCAGTCTGCAAAATAAACCAATTACTCAAGTAATTAATAAATACATTCAGCAAAAATCAGAAGACGGTAACATTAAAGACGGTAACTACTTAAATAAAGTAAGTACATTTAATATATAAATATAGTAAGTAGGTACATTAAAATCCCTAAGTATAAGTAGGTATAAGGGGGCCTACCGCCTATCGGGATTGCTTTGGCTGTTGCTATAGTTTATGACTTTATTTTGTTGTTTCTGACTGCCGCGCCGAAGGTTTTCAAATATGAACCTCGCCCTTATTTTCTTTAATGCTGTTACGTGTCGGCATGGGGTTCGTAATTATATGCCAGTTCACGCTTGACAGTTCTTTATTCACTATATAGTTAAAACACAATGTTAATCAAAAAACACTCACTAAACACTGTTCTTCACAATTACAAGTCTTAAACAATTGCACTCTGATCGCCTTTGTATTCGTCCCGAAATCGCTGATAAAACTCAACTGTCTCTGCGCGGCGCCGATCGCTCTTATATACGTCAATCGACGCATTCTAGAAAAGTCCCGTTAAATTGAGAGTTAACTAGCACCCGTGAGTGCGTAGTACATACTTATACCTACGAAGTTAACGCGCATGAGACCTATGCCAGACGGATGTAATACCTATGCCAGACGGATGTAATACCTATGCCAGACGGATTTAATCCTGCGTACCTATCCTATCCAGCCTTTGGCTTAAGCCTATTCTAGACGGTTGTAATCCAGCATACCAACCAAGGTGACCTTGGTGGGAAGTTGGTTTCCATCCGCGTTATGATTTTCGGCTACACGGATGTAATCCACACGACAACACGCAATCGCGAGCTGTCTTCTGGCGTGCAAACACGTATGCACTTGTATCATGCGCGGACGGTATTAGTAACCATGTTGTTCCATTTTATTTATCATTCTTTCGTAGGCGTCGTTCTTTTTATTTCGGTCGGAATAATCGTGAGATTTAATTTTCCAGAGTGCAGGCAGAGATTTGTATAAACTAATAAATTCAGACGTGAATTCGCGATTGTACATACGCAAATCTGCCATTTTTGAGTGACGATGACGAACGACCTCATGAAACGACGAGCGAGCCTCGACACAAAGTACACTCGACTGTGGCTTGAACACTGAACGCCCAACCACACGCACAGACAAGTACGCGCAGGCCGGGCTTGCGCAGGCAAAATTTCAAGCAAGTCGAAAAATGCGCAGTAGTTTTGGGTAGGACACGACTTGAAAAAGAGTTTGTAAGAGTAGCCTCTTTTTTGTACTGAGCCAGTACAATGTCCCACTTCAAATGAGGCGAGGCGTACTGAAGCTTCGCAACACATTTGAAGTGACGAGTACAAATATGACATTGAGGCGTACAGAAGCTCAACATTACGTTTGTGTGCACGAGTAGCACCTCCTCTACGCACTATCAATCTTGCTGGATCCAGCATGCAGGACAGCGCTTTACACATAAAAGAGATAGAGATACAGATGGATCGTGCGTAGAGGACTTAAATGAAATGTCATGCCTCGCTCTCTCTCTCAGACTTACGAAGAGTGAGTAACGAGACGCGACTATCGCGACATTTAATGTGAAGTAGTACATTTTAAAATTTTGAGCCGCTCTTACATTTTGACGTCATGTCCGGGACAAATGTACCGCCTCTTGTAAGTCGTACTCAACACTAATGCGCAGGCCGCGCTGTGGGGTTGGCGCGTGATACAGTTTTACCAACTACACGCACCGTGTTCCGTGTACAAACCGGCCTGCGCAGGCAAAACTGTGGTGAAGCTCGTGCGTGTGGTAGGCCCATAAGAGATAGATAAAGAGAATATTTAAGTTATAAGTTAAGAATAGTCTGATAAGACTACAAACCGGATTTGAGTAACGTAGCACTTCCGGTTTTTGAGAAATCAGGTTTTGGTGAACATTTAGTTCACTGGTTTGCTAGTAGGTCTTAATCCAGCGTACCAACCAAGGTGACCTTGCCCGTTGCCATCCATCTAGACAATCTAGACAAAGGCAATGCCCACTTTTTGTAATTTAGACAAAGGAGCCATTTCTACAACATACACCGTCCGCGCATGAAACAAGTGCATACGTGTTTTCACGCCAGAAGACGGCTCGCGATTGCGTGTTGACGTGTGGATTACATCCGTGTAGCAGAAAATCATAACGCGGATGGAAACCAACTTCCCACCAAGGTCACCTTGGTTGGTACGCTGGATTACATCCGTCTAGAATAGGCTTTAGTTATAAACAAGTACAGATGTCGTTGCACTTTCACTGCATTAAGCTCTTAATAGAATGAGCAGCACCACTCGATCTTTATTACGATCTGCGGTGTTCTGGTAAATTCTGTCTATACTTTCGCGGTTTTGTTTCGAGAGCGTTTGTGACAATATTGTTATTATCAATGCGAAAAGAGCGCAAACGACCTATATAAAAACCTTCGGCGGTCAGAAATCACAAAATGAAGTGATAAGCTAATAAGGAATAAGATAAGCCAAAGCCATCCCGATAGCCCATAGGCCACCGGACTTTTTACAAAAGCCCGAACATTTTAATCATAAAATACCAACACTGCAGATATGTAAAATAAAATTCTCACATTTTGTACTTTTCATAAACTGTAATGCAAATAGGTAGGTTCTTTGCTCAAAAATCCAATTGCTCAAAATTTTTGTAATAGAGTCCGGGCACGAATAGCCCCTAAATCAAGCTGTGACTGTGATTAACAACTTATACGTACTGTAAGCTCCACTCGGATATATGTAGTTATCGCCGAAGACCAGGGCCTCGGTGGTGATGATGGCGTACATAAAGACGGCGATCATGATGACGGGAGTCACGATGGCCCAGCACACACGCCAGTAAATAGAAGTCTTGATGCCCAACATGAACTCGATGTCCAAGCAAATGTTCTCCAGACCTGAGCAGAGAAACATTATAAAAAAGAAATCTATACCTAGTTATTTGAGGAAAATAGACAGACATGGCGTATTGGAGAATTTGAAGCCTTTAACTAAAATTAGCCGACTATTTTTTTATTTTTTTACTCTATAATACATATTTAGGAGGTAGTTATTTATGCAACTGTTGTATAATAAGGGGTATTAAAACACGAATGTGAGTGTGTGGGATAATAGTATCACATGAACGTTTTAATACCTAATAATAACAGTTCAATACAAGACTACACCCATAATATGAATCCTCAATAAAGGATTCTGAAACCATGGCGAGTTCTAACAAATTAAAATTCATGAAAAGGTTTGGCGTTGCGGTAGTGAAGCGCGCGTTAATCGCATTGTTTTTTTTTTCAAATTCATAATGTGAATTAAATAAATGAGATTTGTTTATCTTTGAAAATAATATATATTTGCTTTTGTGGGGAAGAGGAGTGGGGGGGTAGAGAGGTAATCCCCTAACCCTCCCTCTCCCCCGCTACCGTCTCTAAAATCGACGGACCTTAATCTATATTTTTACCGTTTGGTGTAATATTTTTACTAGACTTCAACTATCTATTTCAAGAATATTAGCGGCGCGCAATTGTTTTTTTTGCTTACTTTGAGTGCTTACCGAAATTTGATTATATTATTATATGGGTCACTCATTGCAGCTGTTATATATTTTCGGCTGTCCAAAAAATTATACTGCTGTTTAGAATGATACAAATTGCGGACTGATTTAGAATAATTTGCTGACCATAAGATGCTGCCCAACTAGCTAATTTGGCTAACCAATTGATTTTGATTTGCTTACAAATATGTATATGATTACTTTGCCAACCGTTTAAATAACACCCTTTTTTAATTATTACATTGGATATTTTAATGTTTTAGAATCTTTAGCGGTATCTTTAGCTCTAATAGCGGTTTCAAAGCATGGGTTTATATAGTTATTTTACGAAACCGCCAGCAGTAGGTACAGTAATGAGTTTAATTTTTGATTTTATATAATGCGCGTTTAAAAAGTAAGTCTTTATGAAACTATCATAAATTCGTAATTCGAATATTTCGACATGAGTGTAGATAAACATATTTAAAAGTATGCGCCTGGATGTAAGTACAGTTTTATTGCTTTTCTTACTATAAATATATATATGTACCTTTATATGATAAAGTAGCATTACTTACCGTAGATCCAAAAGACTCCAATAGTTTCAGCAATTGCAGCGAACAATCTCATGAAGGTTCCTCCGTAATAATCCACTATCTCTAATACGTATTGGCCGCCCTAAAATAAGAAAGTATTAAGTTAATACAGATACCTAGAGTGTGATTAGTTATTTCAATTACATAATGGTCCGTACTCACATACGGTATTACTCGATAATTTTACTCATATGCGAGTAAAAATAAACGCGTCGGCTTCTTTCGAACGAGCCTTTAGGTTGTGAGTTTTGCGGTTCACGCGTTGATTTGATGACCTCCGTGGCCGAGTGGTTTGTACGCCGGGTTTCATGGTGTCGCCGACTCGAGAGGTCCCGGGTTCGAGTCCCGGTGGGGGCAGATGTTTGTGTGATGAATACGAGCATTTGTACTCCAGTCATGGATGTTTAATATGTTTTTCTATATAAATATACTTATATATGTACAATATATGTATTCTATCCGTTACCCTAGCATCCCATAACACAAGCCTCACAGTGCTTACATTGGGGCTAGGCTAATTGGTGTGAGTGTTGGAAATATTTATTTATTTATATTTATTTATATTAAAGTATCGCGTAATACCTTAAGTGAGTACGGACCTTAATAGTAATGTAGGGCATAGCTGATATTTCTTTAGAGTTATGAGAGGTAAGGTATAGCAGATTTCCCTTGCGAATTGGAAGGCGCCTCCACCTTATTCGAGACCCCAGTGAAATTAACCTTCTAGGTTGGGTTTCGGTCGATGAGAAAGGTTTTTAAGGTTTCACAGGGTACATGTCTGGGTTCAGACTACTGGTTTGCAAGCTGGGGATGGGTACCAACCATAGAGAATTAACTCAGTCACATCGTTTTCCGCAAGAATCTGAAATATGATCTAGAATTTCTTACTTCTAAAATACAAAAAAACATTTCGCGCTGAATTAGACCGGTCATTTGTGTTTAAGAGCCTATTTTCTTATATATTTTTTTGTTAGCGTATAACGTAACACATAAATAATCGTGACTACGAAATATCGGAACGGTTGAAAAGGTTGTTGAAAACTGCATATTCTTGAATAGAGCAGTAACAGCATTTACTAGATGCTAAAGTATTTAGAATTAGCTATGCCTTGTACACAGACGACCTCAATGGCCCAAGTGGTTAAGGCGTTCGGCCTGCGGACGTTTGCAAGGGACAGTTATAGGATGGGTGACCAAAAATTTACTATTATACCTCCTTCGTGCTTGTCCTTACGGAAGGAACGTCAAACAGTTGTTGATCTCGGTTGCTTCGGCAGTCGTAAGCACCCACGAATCCGCACTGCAAACTTTCCATCCTAGGGAAGCCCTGAGCCCAAAAGTAGGAAAAAAGTCTGATGATGATATTGTTATCAAAAATGTTTAAATCTAAAGAATATTTTACTAGAAAAAATTCCACGCGGTCCAGGAAGCAGACGGGACTCGAACCCGCACTCTCCGCTATCCGGGCGGATGCACTGACCAATTATGCTACCAAGACCTTAATGGCCGTGTCGAAATCCTTCTAGTATTTCTAAGGCTGCAAGGCAACGCCATCTCTTCGCATTGTAGGCAACTCACAATGCGTTTCTTCGAAAGGCATTGAGTCTCGTCAGCTCCCCTGGACCGCTTCGATTTTTTCTAATAAATTGTTCTTTAGATTTAGACATCTAGCAGTTAAAAGCTTAAAAAATAAAAATATATATATAAAAAAATGTTGTTGTTTGTTGTAAGAATTGTTTTACCGGTGTGACATATATGAGGCCGATGCCGAACCCGGCGGTGCAGGCCATTGCTGACATGGCGATGGTGGGCACGCGCGGAAACGAGTCCAGCAGAATGGTGTTCACGGTAGACAGCAGCGCCACGCCGGAGCCCACGCCCAGCACCGCCATCATGAGGAAGAATAGCACCGCGAACAGCTGTAAAGCGGAATTTCTGCTCAAACTTATTCCGCCTTATTAGAAAACGTGAACTAAAGTTGGGCTTGTGAATTTTAACTCAAAAATATAGAGAGGTAGGTTTCAGTTAAACCCACTTCTCCTTTTCCACTTTGGGTTTCTTTTCTTACCTTTTTCCAATTTATGATTATGTAGCAAGCGTAGTAAAGTATTTGTTTATTTATTTATTTTCGAAGAAAACCAACAGCGTTTTTTCCGATACAAAATTTACAGTTCATACATTTCTAAAAGTATGGCCAATGACAGGTTTTCCTTAACTAGATTAACAATAGGTGACTTATTATTGGTACTTCTATCCCTAACAAGCGATCATCAAACAATCCATCCGTATGTAATTGTTATGTAATCTTATAAAAGTAGTAGGTATAAATCTCTTAAATAAAATGTAATATTTACACATATACATAATAATACTAAAGATGTAAGACTAATAAGGTATAATGAATACTTTTCTCTGTTCCGTTTATCATCTAATATTTTGCTAATATATATGATACTTTTAAATATAAATAATTTTTTGTATTTACACTTTTGATTTTTTTGCTGTAGTCTATTTTTTATTTCATGTTTCAATTTAGTTTTTGTGTTTGCGATAATATCTATATTGTGAAAACATGTATTGTATGTCCTGACAATTCGTGTGATAGAGTACGGAGTTCGAAGAATAAATATTGTGGTGCAGTGGAACATGCAAAAGAGGTGTGTTGCGAGTGGCGGTTCTTTGGTGCACGGTACTTGATTTTTGACACTAATGCATAGGACAATCTATTTTACTGTGCACAATATCATACAGCAAACACATATCCATTAATACGCGTTTCTGCTATCCATTAATACGCGTCTCTGCAGGTATACGTTAGTTACACTAGGTATTAAGCATATTTTTGTGGAATTTGTAATTTTTTAATGAATTAATTCGAATTGTCATACCATTACGCGCAGTTCTGCTTTAAAGGCTTTTACCTGTGGTACGAATGGGGATTGCGCGATAGCATCCGGATACGAGATGAACGCCAAACTGGTTCCGCCGGAACTTATGACATTGCTGACATCGTCGTACTGCAGTTGTTCAGCCAAGTTGCCCAACACTCCGAAGATTGTGATTCCAGATATAAGACTCGTGAATGTATCAAGAGTAGTTACGATCATCGAGTCCCTGAAAAAAATATTAACATCTTTAATTTTTAGCACAATGGGCGTTTTTCATTAAACAAGCCTCAGTAGGTAATATTCGCACGAATTTCATTTCCCGTCCGGCGAATTAACCTACCGCCTATTAGAGGGCTCCTAGAATAACACAATCTTTCGTGTTGTGGTTCTGTCAATCAGAAATTTACAACGCATGCGAGGTGGGGATTTCTTTAGCGCCATACTTTTTGCTGTATCAGATATGGCTTTCCTACGGATATTGGGTCATGTCATGACCCACCACATGGACTCAGTGCGGAGGCTAACGATTGCAAATGTTAACGGGACCATGGCTAAACGTGCCTTCCAGAGAACAGAGGACCTCAAATTAATAAATTTTGCTGTGAAAGTTGCTTGATTTGCACGACCGAGCTGGGTAGGCTCCAGAGGAGTTGAAAATACTAAAATAACATCTTAGGGCAATAATTAATCATTATTGATTATAATAATCAACGTCCTATTTTAAGCAAGTATTTAAAAGATATTTCTTGTTTGTGTAACTACCTGTAAACGTTTTGTGTGAAGCCGTTGTAAGAAGAAAACATTATGAGTGCGCCTGAACATACGGAGAGCGAGAAGAACACTTGAGTTACTGCTGCGTACCATACCTGAAAAAACATCCTAAATTTTACTCATAGTTTAAGATATTTCTCTCTATACACATTCATGTATTATGGTATTATGATAGAGAGAGATGGTATTAAGATTTGGCTACCAATTACATAGGTGTTTAAGTTATGTTGCATAATGTAATTTTCTTATGTATGTAAAACAAAACAACACTATAAGTGTGCACAGCTCCCGCAAAAGAACTTTATATAATTTATGTTGGTATAATACCGCTGTGCCTATTCCCTTACGGGCGCCTCCGTATTGATAGAGGAACATTAGAAATGAGCCTGCGCTGCGTTAAGCGGGAGCACGGAGCGAGCGTTAGCTCCGCGAGCAGTTTTTATGTCATTTCATAGAATAGCGCTGCGTGGGAGACCAGCCTCACGCAATGCAGCTCTATGAAATTACATGAAACAAGCACTCAGAGCGAGCGGACGCCCACTCCGTGCTCCTGCTTGACGCAGCGCAGGCTCTTTAAATTGTTGTAGTCCGTCAAAAACATACTAGATATTAGAAGCTTGATAAAATGAGTACCTATAATTAAATACGCGTATATAAAAATATATATAAAACAAAAATGTACAAATATGGTTAAATGTAATCTAATATAGTACATATCCGTAAAATTATCCCATCAAAAACATAAATGTGAAATGAGAGCCAAGTTCAATATTATGATATATGCCTTGGTTTTTGACTTAAACGACAAACGAAGTGTGATTAAAATGGGTGCCAAGACTGCCAAGTTCGATGGTCAGTCCTAAAATGTATTTAAAATAACATAAAATATTGTATGACAATTTAAAATTACATTTCTTTTTATAATAAAGTATAATATATTGAAGTCTCAGGTCTGACTTGGCTAGTTCTCATATACGAATTATTATTATGCAAACAGTCATGGAAGAGCCCTATGTTCGATGGCTAGTTTCTACCAGCAAGGCAAATTTTCGGAAGAATAAAATAAGAATTTACAGCTTTAGAACTTGCGAAGACTAATATAATTCGTTTATAAAAACTAGCCAAGTCAGACAATGAGCTTCAATATGTTATCCTGATTTATAAGAACAAAAGTTATTCTAGGTTGTTATAACATATTTTATGTTGTTTTCAATACATATAAGAATTGACCATTGAACTTTGCAGTTTTGGCACCCATTTAGATCTCACATCTTTTGTCGTTGAAGTCAACAACCAAGGCATATATATATATATATATATATATATATATATATATATATATATATAAATATATATATATATATATATATAAATATATATATATATATATATACATACTAGCTGATCCAGCGAACTTCGTACCGTCATAAAAAAATAGGGATTGATTTTAAAGGGTTGAAAATTCAGGGTTATATGTACACACATCAAAAGTGTCTAGGGATCAAGCATTTTTATGCGGATTTCTTGAGATTGAGATGTGGCTTTGTAATAAATTTATGATTTTATAAATTTATATGGATCCTTTTTGGTGCATTTCATAATTTGAATCAGGAACTGTGAATCAAATTCGAGTAAAAGATGAAAATCAGCTGTCAATATTTTCCCTATAAAAACATACAACGCATTGAAGACATTATTAGTGCTACTGTTTCCCTACTACTGATTAAAACCAACGTTATTATGGAGCGGCGACGTCATTTAAGCAGGGAAGAAATGCTCAGAGCCGTGGGAATGATAGAAGCTGGTTCCCGGCAACGTACTGTGGCTTTAGCTCTGAATACAAGTCAGAGTGTTATCAGTCGACTTTGGACACGATACCGAAGCACTGGTACCGTGGCTGAGCGCCATGGAGGACGGTATCGCTGCACCACACGGAGACAAGACCGATACATTCAAATCTTAACTCGAAGAGCTCCAACAATAACCGCCATGATGTTAGCCGTGAGGCTTCATCACTCTTCAGGGAACTTAATTAGCGACCAAACAGTCAGAAACCGCTTGCATGAAGTGAACCTTCATTCCCGAAGACCGCTACGGGTACCACCTATAGCAATGCACAATCGTAGGATTCGATATCAATGGGCTCTTGAACACAGAAATTGGGCAGAAGAACAATGGCGTTTCGTGTGCTTTTCTGATGAGTCTCGTTTTGGTATGAGACCGGATACAAGACGTATACGACACTGGAGAACCCCTGGACGCCAACAGCGATTAAAATCCTGCCAGGAAGTCCATCCTTATAGTGGTGGAACCATCATGGTATGGGCGGGTATTTGGATCGGCGGAAGAACTGAGTTGATTTGGATCAGAGGCAACCTCAACGCTCAAATTTATGCTGAGACGATTGTATCAGACGTCATCGTTCCTCTACAAGTGCAAATTGGTCCCTTATTTCAGTTAATGCATGATAATGCACGACCGCACACCGCAAGAGTTGTAAGACAGACTCTCGCCGCAGCTAACATCAATGTCCTGCCCTGGCCTGCTCAGTCGCCAGACTTGAACCCGATTGAGCATGCATGGGATATGCTACAGAGAAGAGCTCTGCCGAATATGGAGGGTATCCAGTCGCAAGAAGACCTTTTTTTGTTGTTGCAACGAACATGGGCGGCCATTCCACAGCGTGATTTGGATGAACTCATTTTGAGTATGCCAAACCGATGTTCTTGTGTTGTTAGTGTTCGCGGTAGAAATACGGATTATTAATTGTTTAAGTTACCCAATAAAATTTTAGAGAAAACTGTTATTTCAGTCTTTTTTTCGAACTTTTGTGTTAGTGGTTCAAATGTCAAAAATCCCTTTATTAGGAAAATGGCAAATTTCTTTATTAATGCAAAGGTGACTTGGTTTATCGTTACTGTGACAAACGAAAACACTTTATTTGATGAATCCTTAAAGAAAATTTTAATTAATATCAATCAGGAGAAAAGTTATTGCAAAAATATATGTTGATCCCTAGACACTTTTGATGTGTGTATTTACTAATGCTGTATCATAAACATATAAAAATATATATCTTAAATTAAAAAATAATAATTTAGGGGTGGATTACCCTTAACATTTAGGGGGATGAAAAATAGATTACATCCGATTCTCAGACCTACTGAATATGCATATAAAATTTCACGAAAATCGGTCGAGCCGTTTCGGATGAGTTTAACCACAAACACCGCGACACGAGAATTTTATATATTAGATAAGGCTCTCATTTTTGTTTTTGATGGAATATCATTACTTTTTGTACAGAAATTATAAGTATACTGATTTGTTCATAATAATATTAATACCAAATAAATTAATTTAAAAATTATACTAAAATGATAAAAATTTGCTAGTTTCTAATTTATTCTTTTGTATTTACTAAACTAACTGGTTGCCAAATTTGATCTTTCTAGGTCAGCTGGTCTGGAACTGGGTTAGAGTTTGTCAGTCAGTGATAAAAATGATGGTTTTTGGGCGTTGATATCTAAATAACCGTTTGAGTTGTGATATTTATTGGAGTACATATATATGTACCTCGCAAGTCTCAATATATGAGCTAAATTTGACATGTCTATGTGAAATAGTTTTTGAGTTATGAGGGGGTCAAAATGTGTAATTTAATACACACGGTGCTGCTCGCCAGTTCTGTTAGCTTGAACTTGGCTAGACACGGAAGATTTCATGCAAGTTAACGTTAATCGTTAATCCGTTAACACATGCTACAAATTGCATTTTTATATCGTTGCGTTAGTGATCTGCTTACAAATACTGTTGTTTTGGGTTCTGGAAGTTAATAGATTAGGTTTAACAAAGACAGTGTATAAATATATAAAAAAACTAGCTGACCCAGCGAACTTCGTACCGTCCTAAAAAAATAGGGGTTGTCCAGCGGACAAAATTGTGAATCAAAACCATTCTCAGATCCCCTTGAACATACACAAAAAATTTCATCAAAATCGGTCCAGTCGTTTAAGAGAAGTTCAGTGACATACACACTCACAGAAGAATTATATATATAAAGATAAGTGTGTATTTTTTCGCACTCGGGCAAGTATCTGCTCTCCCGATCTAGATATAGGGCTGCCGTCTGGGTTTCCCCGGATTTGTCCTAGTTTACAGGGCGTCCGGGGAGCGTCCGAGCGGGGTTTCATTTGTAGTCCGGGTTTATAATTTTTCTGTTTTTGATCGCCAATTGATCCGTCAATATGTCTTTGAAATTAAATAAATCTATTCTAACACTGTAACCGTAAGTGCTGACTTCCTACAAAGATCAGTACCCCTAGCACGAACCAATATCGAATTCGTATCGTTTGCGAACACGAAATGTCATTCTCAAATGTGTACTGACTCTTATATCTCGTTACGTTCGTTATGGTGCTGCTGATCAAGTTTTCATACAAAATTTGACAATGACATTTCGGACTCGCAAACTATTCGAATTCGATAATTTTTACACTGGTCGGTCAAATATCCCTTGGATGGAAGTAGAAGGTTGTAAAGACAGACTTGTGTCCGAGTTTGAGATGTTACTGGATCAAGTCATAAATTGGAGCCAACAAAATTTTATTGGATTAACCCAGCAAAGTCACATGTGTGTGTGAAAAAGCTTGGGTGCTCGTAGATATAGTAAGTACCTCAAGCCTAAATATCGGGTGTTATTATATAAAGTACTGGTCCTCTGGGCTGGAGCACCCCAATACCAGCTCCTTCCTCTTGACCGGATGCAAAAGCGGGCAGTTTGTCTTATCGATGATCCTGTGCTCACTCACGCGTTGCAACCCCTTAACTACGCAGACTGTACAACACGCACAAGGACGCAACTCCGTGTACGTGTTGTACCGTCTATACAATGGAGAGTGTTCCGAGGAATTATTCAACCGGATGCCAGTGGCCAAGCTTCTCCACAGCACCACACACCGCAGAGAAGTTTCACGCCCACCATCTGGACGCCTGGCGTTCGAGCACCATGTGTTCCTTTCTTTTGCGTACCAGCAAGATCTGGAACGATCATCCGGTGGGGGCAGATGTTTGTGTGATGAATATGAGCATTTGT